ATTTTATTTAGTAGGCTGCGAGCATTTGTGTAGCACACCTTTAATTTCGTGGAGAACTTTCTCTCACATCCAGAGTGGTTTATGGATCATTTTGCTCCAACCTTTTACAATTTGAAAACTCTTAAGTAAAAGGTTTCTTCCACCGTTTTGGTGACGTTCATTTATTTCTAATTCTGCAGATAAGCTCTTAACATGGTCAATCAGTGTGAGATTTTCACGAACATATATTCCAGATCTAATCAGTTTGCGTAAGTTTCCCAGTATCATGTTTCTCTCTTCAGCCGAAGCAAAATTAACCGTCAAGAGGCGGCTTTTCTGAGTACTTTCAGAATCCACTTTTTGTCCTATTCTATAAAGCTTACAGATGCTAGCTCCTCAAACTGTTTCTGGGACTAGCTTGCTTGTTAAGGACCTAATGTTGCTGGGATTGTGCTGAAATCTAGCCTTTGTTACTTTTTCGTAAGATTCTCTTAACTTATGAACAATGGCCGACCTGTCAGAGAGGTCCGTCTTAAGACGCTGTGGAATTTCAACTCCAGAAATCTCCTCCTCCATGGAATCCGATTTGGTCTCATACGCGGAGGTCTTACTCTGTTCTGCTACTTTTATTTTTCTGGGTGTGACTGTAATCCAATCATTTACCTTATTTCGTCTATTGATTACATCCTCTACACCGTTCAGAATTTGCTCCCCATATCCTGTTTTGAGTTGATATGTGAATCCGAAACTAGAAACGTAGATTCACAAATCTTGGCACTGTCTATAATTTTTTTCCTTTAAGCGTGCTTTTTCTCTTACATTGAAACAGTAACTGCATCGGTTTGCCTGTTATATGTGTCCCTAATTGGGTCCACCTTTATGGTCTTATTCAAATCCAGAGCTGGGTTCATGATAACGCTAGCTATTTCCTCGAAAGCACAATTCTCCTCATCTGTTTCAGCATTTTTATCTGCTGATAGTTTACTAGCTATGTTCAGCAGCTCAATCTCCTCAAGAATCATCAAAGACTTTGTAAAACAGCATGTTTTGCACAGCCAACGTGATAGTGACTTGCAGCACACTGCATATGCAGCCCGTGTGAATCTGGTGCACACATTGTGACAATACTTATTGCAATTGTCATGTTGCATTACATCATCGACAGGGGAATAGCATGCAGGTCTGCTACAGCGATATTTAATTTGCGAAGTGAATTTGTGTTGTTATCTCAAAGGAAGAACAACAGCGAAAAGTGACCACCAGAATAAGTGTCTTTTAAGGCTTGATAGGTGGTAGACGGTGAACACAAAAAAAACAGAGGTCTGACAACAATAAAGAAATCCAACTCTATTAGTTACAAAAAGACCTAAACAACTTTAGACACAAACAATACTCAACGATTTATAAAAAAGCACTCACCTTTTTGTATCTGTATTCGGAAAGAACAGTTGATAAACTTCTCTAGAAAAAACGATACACTTGGAGATTACTTTAAATGAAATAAATTCAATCAAAGTAGAAACAGTAGTGTTGATGAGAAGTAAGACTATCAGTGTTGAAACCGGATCTTTTCAGAAAAGCAGCATGGTTTTAGAACAGGTTACTCTTGTCTCACAAACTTTTTAGTCGCTCGTGAAAGCTGTTGCGCACTTAAGGACCAAAAGTTACATATAGACGTAGCCTATATCAATTTCAGCAAGGCTTTCGATAAAGTTCTGCACAACCGACTGCTATATAAGCTAAGGAATGTCGGGATTGAAGGCAATCTATTGATGTGGATAAAAAACTTTCTAGTTGGGCGTCAACAAAGAGTAAGGGTGAACTCCAAGTTGTCTAGCTGGGAAACTGTGCTTAGTAGAGTCCCCCAGGGTACAGTTTTGGGACCAGTGTTATTCCTCCTGTACGTAAATGACCTCCCTCGTCTACTATCGTCATAGGTCTTACTCTATGCCGACGATGTAAAGATATGGAGAGCGATATAAAGCAAGAGCGATAGCTTAGAACTCCAAAATGACCTGGAGAGATTATCTGAATGGTCCCAAACCTGGCAATTGCCGATAAATACTTCCAATTGTATTGTGATGCATATTGGCCACCAGGGTTCAGATACATACACGATGAATAACACTGAGTTACCTATTGTCCAGACACACAATGACTTGGGAGTCATCGTTAGTCAAGACTTAAAGACTACTGCACACTGCCGTGCAATAGCCGCCAAAGGTTTTAGGACTTTATGGTCCATACGCAGGGCTTTTAAGCATGTTGACGCTAAAACGTTTCTGACTTTGTATACAGTGTTCGTGCGCCCTAAACTTGAGTACTGCATACAAGCAGCTAGCCCCTGCCTAAAAAAGGACAGTGAACTCTTGGAAAGGGTTCAGAGAACAGCAACTAAGATGATTCCCGGAATAGCGAAGCTCCCGTATGGTACTAGACTGACCAAGCTAAACCTATTCCCGCTGTCATATAGAAGAATCAGAGGCGACTTGATTACAGTTTTCAAATTGCTTAATGACAAATTTGCACCTGATATGCCCTCATTTTTCTTGTCTTTCAAAACAGAAAATCTACGAGGACATTCCAGAAAAGTTCACAAGCCCAGAGCGAATTACTTGTCAGCTGACTACCGACTTTCCCTTCGAATAATCAACAAGTGGAATTCATTACCTCAGCACGTGGTTGAAGCTCCATCCGTCAACTCCTTCAAAAAGGTTGGATCAGCTGAGAGACCATCATTGCCAAGACTAACACAGGCCATCAAGCCTCCTATCCTTTCCGAAATGAAACTGAAACTGAAAATATACACTCGGGAAAACCAGTGAGCCGGAGACGGTGATTAGAATCCGTAAACTGTTAAGAATACGGTGGATAAGAACTTTTTTCACTTTTCACAAAACAAGATTCAGCATTTGTTTCTGTTCCGAAGGTGCTGGGGGAGACTACTGTAGGTATTATCATTTGACCGCCCTATATTGATTCATTGTTTTTCTACTACTACTACGAACACGTCTTTCTGTGACGGAAACAGTCTTCGTAAAAGATCGAGGGATATCCTAAGTGATTAACAGTTTCCAGGTCTTCGAACAGCAGTTTGTGAGTTTGAGTGTTTGTTGTTTGAGGTTAGTAAGTTGTCCTTGAGTTCAAAAACCTGCCCACTACTCTGGCGGGTTTTTAAATGGGTCGGTTTTGCGTCTTGGTTGACGTATCGTAGTAAACCTTCCACACAATATAATGGCAACCCATTGTGCATAAGTTTTTGACAATACCATTGAGCAAGAGAAATCAGTTTGCGTTAATTCTATTACGATACTAGACACCAAACTTTTCTAAGATTATTAAACATCAATTATAGGGTTTAATATAGAAAAGGACAGGGCACAGAAAATAAATTTTGGAAGGTGGATGACTAGAGGTTGACTGGGACCCAGGCCGTTCACTTTACCTGTTCTTACAATCTCATTTACTTCAAGAAAACGTAAATATGTTTGCATATATATATATATATATATATATATATATATATATATATATGCATTTGTCGCATTTGATCACTTGTCTTAACAATTAGTTCGTGATTTATAATAGTTGTTAACCTAACTAAGAGTTGTGAGATTCGAGTCAGAGCTTCTGGATTGTGTATTTCGCATGTTTTTCAGACCATATTATTTCTGGGGTCCTATCTTTATTTATTGTTTATCGGGTTGATTGACTTATGTGCTTTGCATTCTCACGTGTCGCCTATGGATGGTATAAGTTAATGGTCGCTGTATAGTATGCATGTCTGCTTTACTGATACTACTTCAATATGATATATTACGTCCTGTTTCTGCTACATAAATTTAGTACGTACGAGCTTTGGCGTATCATATATGATCACCAAATGTAAAATCCTTGTAGTGATAAGATGGAGTTCTGTAATATCTTTTGAAGCTTGACTAGCTGCAGTGTTACTCTGGAATTTTCCCCCTATAATGATGTTTATTTATTTATTTATTTAGACATAAATATTGGTACAAGGAAGCACCAGATAAATATGCACCACACAAATCTCACTTGATTTTTGTGAGGGCTGTGATACCGTCCAGGTGCCCAAACTGAAGCTGGTGGTTTTCTTAGGGAGCCACATACGGAGCTTTTGACCTAAAGGTTTGATCCACAGGACAGTGGAGCATCGTGAGGAGATGCAGTTCCATGGTAGCCAGTGACCGACGATTGACTCATACGCCATTTGTTCCCTCAGGATACTGGAGCCCATGTTTGGTTTGGAATCAGGGTTTTCCAACTCCCCTAGGTGGACCCTCCGTATCCACCAACCCGGTTAATGGGCCGAACTTTCACTTTTCGTCCTCTCGATTTCTCAAGCAACACCCTCGGGACGAGAAAGCAGTGAGCAGGACTTCCCTGGCAGATGCTGTATACGCGTGGCCATGTGAAAGCATTTGGAGAGAGGGAACGGACTCTCCTCACTATCGGCCGTACCAAGGCGTTTGGGGCATAATGATGTGTGTGAAGACAGTAATTATTTCTAGTGATATGTGCGAAATGTAAATAATTACTCTCTTTTATATCTTAAAATTGTAGTTTGGTTTGATTCTTTGTTTTGAAGATACTACTTGAAGTATTTAGTCAGAAAGTTTAACGTCTTCAACATTAGTTTTCAACGTCAAATTGGAATATATGTGTATCTTGTCCCACCATGTCTGTAAAACCAAAACCATACAGTATCTCGTATCAAATTTCGTGTCCCCTTGAGCTGTTTCGAGGATTCGTAAATAGATACACGCTCTATCGTTTGTAATGGGGTTTAGTCGTTCTTTTTTGTTTCGTCCATCTTGCAATCCCAGTCTTATTTTTGCGGTTTTTGTGATTTTGATCATTTGCTATTTTTTTTCTTTTTAGTTCACAGTTGTTTCTCCAGTCTGATGTATATTTGTTGCTAATTTACGTTTGTAGAGCTGAGCAAACTGAATTCCCAATTCTAGTATTATTTCATTCTCTCGAATCTATCACGACGATAAATGGTTAGTATGTCAAGTCTTTTTGGCGAGATATGCCAATTATTTTGTTGTCCTCCTCGACCTTCTCACATCGTGGCGAAATTGGCATTTCTACCGCCACCACCAACTTACTCTATCATATCATCAGCTAATGACTCTACATGTTGTATTGAGTTCAAGCCTGAAGCTGGTTGGCAAATATCCGAGGACATAAAATCCAAATTAACAGTAAGTGATTATCTTATTTTACCTTTTCTTGATCTTGACAACCTTAGCCTTTTCCAGATATCCCCTTGTGACCTGGTTTTTATTATTCTGGCATAATGTTTATACCTATAATTTCATTTTGTTTATCTTCCTTTTTATCTTTTACTGCTGTGAAGTGCTCCAAAAGAATATTGTCCAGTTAAATCATGAGATTTTGCACTTGTTAATCAAATTCTTGTTACCAGAAAGAAACATTTCTATGTTTGGTATGAAGTACAGGGAAACTAGTTTTATTTGCAAATGTCCCAACTCAGAATAACTCTTTAAATTCAATTTTTTTCTGGATGATTCATGTTTTTTATTTTGAAAATTATTAGATCAAATTAACTATAACTTTTCGGTTGTACAGAAATAGCAAGTCCCAAATAATGTTCTACTAAAATCTTATGTTATTTAGATAGGTGGTAGGTACTTAGTTGATAAGTATTAGTCTAGAATGTTTTTATCCATTTTTGCCCATTCCGAATGATTAAAGTAGTTCGAATATCAATAAGCTAGTTAGTGGAGATGCATTTGCTCAGTCTAAATATGTTGATATCCACCTAGAACCTCGAATAACGGGGTGGATGAAGTAAAATTGTTGCGTAATGTTATAAGGACAACTCTCCTCATACGATCTTCATTCCTTTTAAAATTTGTCATCCTTAAAGTGTTATTGTTGTCTAACAGATATGTAGTGCCAGTATAAAAATAGTTTTCAACTTACAGGTTTAGATAGAAGACTACCAGTCATATTTATCGTTTAGATCTCCATATACGTTGATTTGGGCACTTGAATAGTATAGCTAAGGAAATGTGTTGCTCGTCCCTGTACATTAATGAAAATACTTTAAGTTTATTGTTGTTATTATTAACTGTGATTTTACGTGGTCAATCAAATCAAGATTGATAAAAATGGTCTCGGACTCGCAACTTCGTGATTAGTGTAAGCTCTTAAATAACCTAGCTACAACTTTTTTGAGGTACTGATTCATGCTTTTCAAATATAGTGATGTGTATAAAAATGGGCATATTCTGCCTGTCTTTCACATTAACAAATCCTTTCCAAAACGAGAAGTAATCATACATAGTTTGAGCGATTTGGTTTTTATCTTATTGCTTTATACTTGACCTTACTGTTATTCATAACCAGCCTAACAACTTAGTTGTAAGAAATGTGGTGTTCCTGTTGGTTGTTGTACTCAACTGTATTGTAAAATATGATTTGAAAGTAGTGTTGTAGTGAACAGAACACTGGTTGGGGACAATTGAATGTATTTAAGCAAAATTACAGATTATCTCAGTAAATTCTGAAAACCATACAATGAACAGTCAATTTGCAAATTAACAACCAATTGTTTCAATCTTCACTGTTTCTTCTCTAATTTCACTGCTCATGCATTTTCCAAACGATTGCGCTTCATTTCAGTTCTTTCCTCATCGGTCTTCTGCCAAAATACATTCTATGTCTGACCAACACCATATACTACTTATATGGATATAAGTAGACCACACCACAGTGTGAGGGGACACGTGTTCGATCAAACTTACGTACCTGGTTGTTGGTTCAGCGACTGAGCCACAGTCCTTTTTTCCTTGGTGAGAGCTCTAAACATCCCGTCTTTTTTTTCTGATTATGATCTTATGGTCGTTTGTATCTTAAGTGTCCCTCAACGGGATCAGTGATTTTGATAGATTCCAAAGACACTCACATTACGTCAGTCAGTCAGTCAGCTACAACGTAGGACCAGGCACATTTATGCATCGGTCCAAGTTGCCATACCTCGTTAGCACAACAAGATGAACACCGGGTTCATAGAAGTAATTAATTTAGTGATGGTAGTAGTATATAAATTATAGGTTGTATATAAGGATATAGTACAGGAAGGAGGAGATATATGAAGCAATTTTAGTCTCAAGGTTTAAAGGAAGATAAAGAGTGTATACACCTACGCCATTGTGACCGATTCTGAGCCATGTCACCTAGAGTCTTTAACCATTGGTTACGATAGTCACGCGGACCCCAACCAGGTAGTCTGCATCTGCCAACATGGCTCAGACTAGAAGTTAGTGACTTCAAACACTGATGCCATGTTTTGGTTTGGCCGCCCCTAACTCTCTTCCAACAATCCCCTACACTAGTCATCATAGCGCGTCGTGGTAATCGGTGTTCAGGCATACGTAACACATGGCCCAACCATCTCAGTCGATGAAGATTCATGACCTCATCAACTGATTTACCATCATTCCCTAATACCCTGAGTCTAACCTCACTATTACTTACCCGGTGATCCCAGCAGATGCGAGCAATATTTCTAAGGCATCTGTGGTCAAATACTAGTAACCTACGAGTATCTTCTACTCTTAATGGCCATATTTCACAACCGTAAAGTAGAACAGAGCGAACTGATGCGCAGTATACTCGTCCTTTAATTGATAGACGGATATCTCGTCTTCGCCATAGGTGACGTAAGTTGGCAAAAGCCAAACGAGCTTTTCGAATCCGTGCTGAGATTTCGTCAGACACCAACCCATTAGGGCTGATCAGACTTCCAAGATAAGTGAAGTTGTCGACGCGTTCGACTACCTCACTCCCTATCCTTAGTTCGGGTGTTGACGCAGGCTAGTCCTGGAGTAACAATTTACATTTGGATGGGGAGAATCGCATCCCAAACATCCTGGCATTATTACTCAGTTCCAACAGAAGACTCTGCATTTTGCCAGCATCTTCACCAAACAGGACTATGTCATCTGCGTATTCTAAGTCGCTTAGTGGTCCCCCTGGTAGGAGATCAATTCCTGTAAATTCAGTCGAAGAGAGTGTTATTTCCAGCAACAGGTCTATAATGAAGTTAAACAAAAAGGGGGATAGTGGACAGCCTTGACGGACACCACTTGAGGTTGTAAAATTATATGACAGTTCGCCATAAGCTCTCACTCGACTGGTAGTGTTCGAGTAAAGAGCCTTCACAAGGTTTATGTACTTCTCAGGTACACCTTTCAATGACAGACACTGCCACAGAACCTCTCTGTCTACAGAGTCAAATGCTGCTTTCAAGTCAAGAAAAACTATCATTGTCGGACGCCGATAAGCATGTCTGTGATCTAAAACTTGACGAATGGTGAATATGTGGTCGATACAGCCACGACCAGGTCTGAAGCCAGCCTGATTTTCTCGTGTTTGCAGTTCACGAGTCTTAGTTAGGCGCCCGATAATTATTGAGGCTAGTATTTTAGATGCTATATTCGTCAGACTAATCCCTCTATGGTTATCGCAGGATGATTTTGACCCCTTTTTATATATTGGGACAATCAGTGATTGTGACCAGTCGGATGGGATTACATCCGTCTCCCAGATTTTAGCCAGAATATTAGTCAACTTAATCGCTAAAATCGGACCACCATATTTAAAGACCTCTGGAGCCAATCCGTCAGGACCAGCTGCTCTTCCTCGTTTCATATTACCTATAGCCTTTTGAACTTCAAGTAGGATCGGGGGGCCTACTTCAATGTTCCATTCAGACTGTCTGGGAATAGTGGGTAGTTGTGCAGTAGCTGAAGGCCAGCTAAACTGCTCCTTAAAGTGTTCCGCCCATCGTTCTAAACGTTTGGGTTGAGAGCAGATAAGGGTTCCGTCTTTTTCGGAGATTGTCTCACTTACACTTGACTTCTTAGTTCCGGTTTCTTTTATTAGTCTGAATAGTTGCCTGGTGTTCCCTACAGCCGCTGCCTTTTCCATCTCTTTTGCTTTCGTTGCCCACCACTGCTCACGATCGTTCCTTAGACTTTTAGTTAACCTAGGTCTAATTTCTCTACGCTCTTCGTCATGTTCAGAGCCTGGTGGGATGAGTTTACGCGAATCCATCAGTGAAATAGACTTAGAAGAAATCCATTGGTTTTTTGGAGCCCTATGGTTTAAATGACTAATAGATGTTACTGCTGTTTCCACAGCTGTTCGTATATCTTTCCAAGCAGCATCTGTGTCAGTCTTGTTTACAGAACTGCCTAGATGTGAACTCAGTTGTTTCTGGAATTCGCATTTGGCTTTCTCGTCCTCCAGTTCAATCCTAATGGGTCTTCTTAGTGTACTTTTCCTGCGTCCATTGAGGCGCACATTACGATACATTCACTTTAGCGTTATTGATCGGGGACTTTGGTGGTACTGATGATTTTACAAGTATATTGTTACCTTTTACTCTATTCCTGTAGGTTTTCTATACGTTGACGAAGCGTCAATCTCGAATTGTTTGTATGCATATTCCAGCAAGTTCTGTTGTCTCACCTTCACAGTTCTCATCAAATATATCCTCTCGTCGTGGCCTTTCTGGCCAGTCAAGAATGAGAAGTCCCGCACTCAGTGTTAGTTGTCCAACTCTTACAGATGAAGGTCGATTCGGATCGGCTCAACATAACTCACCACATCAACCAACTTATACGGTATTATTCAGTCATGGAAACGCAGTTGATATTGGTCAGGTATGTTTATCAAAGAGAAAAATAACAGTAATCTATTTACAAACAAACCACCTCTAGGACACTGAAAACCCGAAATATTCTACTTATGACCAGACTTTCCAGATTAACAGTTTACTGATTCGAGCATTTGAATTCGGATTAAAAGCTTTAATCCTGTCCTACTTATTGGGGCTAGATGGCTAAGTTAAGATGTATATGGTTAATAGGAAAATATTGTAGTTGGATTTTGCTTCATTCTATGGTGCATGAAATTCATATCGAATTTGTCTGCTTCTTTTCTACTTTTGGAAAACTAAATTTCATATTAATGTGCAGTTAATGAATGAAATGCGACTTAAAAAGCCATTTTATTCTGCTATCATTAGCAGCTGCACACAGGAAACAAACGTACAAATTGTGAAGAAATGAATCTAAGGTATTGAATGTTGAAGATAGACGAGGAACAAATTATTTGATACTCTTGTGTAGTGTATTTTAAATTACTTAATCAAAATTTTCTCAGCAGCTTCTTGTGAACCTCGAAAAAACAAGCCCAGAAGCATCCCTCCTAATGGCTGAAACCTCGAGTTAGTGATCTCTTAAACTAGTATGATAAATATTTTTGATCACTAACAGTCTTACTCCATGTTAGATCGCACATCAGAGTAGACTCGCTCCTAATTCGTAACACGCCCAAGCTCCCCTACTCAATATTGATTAGTTAGTTCATCTGCTAATCTAACTATGAATTTTGTTACACACCAAATATCAACATTAAGGTTGTTTGAATTCACTTCCTGTTTCAGTCAATAGCAATCCATTTATTATCCCTCATATGAACAGAATTAAAAGTAATTATTACCGTTTAGGTTTGTATATGTGTGCATTTCTTTTAACTTCATGACAGTTGACATGTTACCAAACTGTTATATTCTCATTCAATTTGAAGTTACACAACCTAGTAACCTGAAAAGTAAATTTTTCTTCACCCAATTGCTTTTTTGCTTTAGTGTTGATTTATGTGGTTTTTGCTTGTAGTCTTTCATCTGAAAATATAAAAAGATATCTACGTTTAGGAATGCATTTATCAAATTATCTCTCCTTACACTTAAGTCCACGTCCTTTTTAACTAGTCACGTGCAAAAGTTATGCACTTACATGTTTTTCTTCTCGATACTACAGAGTACTTTAGTTTAAGTGTTCACATTCCTTTGAAAAGTTATTTAGCAGTATTTGGTAATGTAATTTAATTTATCAGAAAAATTTCGTTTTAAAAGTAAATATTGAACAAAATTAACGATATGTCTATTGATTTCATCGTATCAGTAAGGAAATAGCTTACGCCTGTAAATATTGCCGATCATGTCTTGCTATTAAGCATTCTTTGATGAATACTTACGCCTGTTAACCCTCGTCGAGGAGCATAGGCTGCTCACCAGCACTTTCCATGAAACTCTTTCCTGGGCAATCATTTTCATGTCTGTTGCCAATTCTCGATGCAATGTGTTCTTTGGCCTTCCTCTCTTCCGTTTACCTTCAGTGTCCCAAGGTAGCGCTTGCCTCGTGATACAGTTTGATGATTTCCTCAATGTATGTCTTATCCACTTTCAACGTCTTTTCTTAATTTCCTATTCAACTGGAAGTTGGTTTCTTCTTCTCTCTCTCACTGTAGGTTGATGCTGATGGTATCCGGTCAATGGACATTCAGTATCTTGTGTAGACAGTTGTTTAGAAATACTTGTACATTTTCGATGATAATTGAAGTAGTTGTCGAAGTTTCATCTCCCTCCGTACAGTAGAACTGTCTTGACGTTCGTATTGAAGATTGTGAGCTTGGTGTGTCTGCTTGCATACAGTTGTTTTGAGTTGGAGATGTTTTTAAATTGTGAGCATGCTGTCGTGCTTTGCCGATCCTTGTCTTTACGTCTGTATCTGATCCTCCTTGTTTATTGATGACTCTGTCCATGTTTGTATGTATAGATTTCCACATCTTCGAGAGCCTCTCCATGAAGTGTGGTTGGTTTGGTATTCTCTGTGTTGTATTTGATGATCTTATTTTTCCCCTGTGAATGTTGAGGCCAACTGATTCAGAGGCTGCTGCTGCACTCGCCCTTGTTGGTGTGTATGTGATAGAAGACCTAGGCCGGATCGTTGCAACTGAGATGTTCGTTGTATTCCCTGCTTCCCCTGAGATGTGGAGGTCTTCATAGTCCAGTCAACCATCAGAAGAATGGGAGAGTAATCAGTCTTATTTGATACCAGTCGTCACTTGGAATGTGTCTGTTAGTTGTCGTCTATGCACCACTTTGCAGTGTAGTCCGTCGAAAGAATACCAGAAGATATTGACGATTTTTCGAGATACTCACTCCATAGTGTCGAAGAAGGTTCCATAAAGTTCTCTTAGCCACACTATCAGACGCCTTCTAGTAATGGTCAAAGAGGTTTATGTATAGTGACGCGTTCCATTAAATTGATCTTTCAACGATGGTCCGTAGTGTCATGATTTGGTCTGTGCATGACCGACCCTTACGGAATCCAGCCTGTTGATCTCGAAGTTGGGAACCTACCGAATCTTTCATCTGGTTCAACAACACTCTGTTGGAAACTGTTCCTGGTACTGATAGTAGTGTGATTCTTCTGTAGTTCTCACATTTGCTACGGTCTCCTTTCTTTGATATCTTGATGAGTTGCTCGTTTTTCCAGTCTGCCGGCACTTGTTCTTCCTCTCAAATCTCCCTGGATAGAACGTGGATGATGTTTGCAGTCACTCCTATATATGACTTCAGTGCTTCAGCCGATATATTGTCAGACCGAACTGCTTTCCCACTGTTGATTTGTCTGATGACCATCCTGATATTTTCGATCGTTGGTGGAGTGACAGCTATAGGAAGGTTTGTGTGTGCTGCTTCGATGTCCAGGGGATTCAGTGGGACTGGTCTATTTAGGAGTTTCTCGAATCATTCTACCCATCTGTTCCTCTGTTCTTGTATCTCAGTGACTGTTTTGCCTTTGTCCTTGACTGGTCTTTTTGGTTTACTATATTTCCATACCAGTTTCTTCGTTGTTTGATATTTCCTTCTTTCGCAGCTTTTTCCAATGTCGTTGTTAGCTCTTCTTCACTCGATTGTTTGCTTTAGTGTATTGAGCTTGTGCGTTGACGTTCCTGTTCTTGTTCGGCTGCTGTTAATTACTGTCTTTTTCTTCCTACCTTGAATTTTGTCCAGGATTTCGATAGAGATCCATTTCTTATGATTATACTTGTTGTGGTGTAGAACCTCCCGACACGTTGAAGTTAATGCTTCTTTGATCCCCTTCCAGTTGTCCTCCATAATAGTTTCATCTTCTTTGAGTAGGTCTTAGAAAGCTTGGAACCTGTTGTTGGGAGCTATCTTGAATCTGTTGTTTGTCAGTACCTAGATGGGAGTCTGTATTGAACCTTTGTAATGTTTTTTGTCCAGTTGTCCATTGCTTCTTTAGCTTCAGTTTCATCATGGCGACCACCAGGTAGATGATCATCTAAACCTAGGTCACCTCCTGTCCTGGTTCTTACATCTTCCATTGACCTTCGGATTTTTCTATTGATGCAAATATGATCTATCCGACTCTCTGTGATGTGATCCGGTGAAATAAATCCATGTAGTATTGTGTATGTGTTTGTCGGGTTGAATATTGTGCCACCTGTAACCAATTTGTTGAATGCATATAGATAGCTGCGGAAAAATAACAACATAAATTGTAAATGAATTGAAATATTAGCAGTATAACTGATATCCGTAAATAATGAAGTTGACCTTTACTGTTATTGCCTAAATGTAACACACATTTTTTACTATCCAATAAATTTTTAAAACTGTGGATATATAACAATTGAAGTTACATGTTGTCAATCTCATTTTGAAGATTTGTTTTGACAAAATGATCCATTTGATATCAGGCAAGGAAAATAGGATTGTAAGAATACCTTCAGAGTCTTATGTTGACAAACTGATAACGAAAACAGTTTGTTTTTGTTTAGCGTTGACTTCAAATTGAGGGAAGAGCATCATCTTACTTATTTTAAATAATACGCTCAGTAAATTTGATCATGCTGTTGATGCTTAAATTTTTATTGAAGTCTGATTCCCTTTAAAAGGATTTCATTGTTAAGTGTTTAAAATAAATGATGAATCGTGATAAACTGTACAACCTATTGAAAAGTCACAACGCAGTTTTCATTTTGATGAGTACATAAAAATTGGATTAATTAGAATAGCTGCTAAAAACCGACGATTTACGATCGTATAAAACCAATCTAGAACATCAGAGCAACAAAGAGTAATGAACCAAACTGGTATTACGTTCAGTTGTGTGTTTACTTGTCGGTTAATCGTTTATCGCCTGGGTTTTGAGCGAAAGAATTCTGAAACCCTCGTATTAACTGTACTCCTTTTATCTGAGGATGATATTTGACCCGTTGAGTTTAAAAATCTTGTGGCAGACAAAAAGGCATCATCAACATAAGGCTCAGTACAGATGTGCGTTTAATCAAGTTTTCATACCTAATAAGTTCGACGGGATGAAAATAACTAAAGCGATCGAAATAATGTAATAGCAATGATAACAAGAAAGTTTAGAGCTTGGAAATACGGTTTTAAGAAACAATGGGAAAGTACGTATGAAGGGATACTAGAATTCAAGATCGAGTGAAAGATAAAGAGTGAATGTATGTGCATCATTGTGGACGATTCTTAGCCACTTCATCCAACGCCTTTGACAACCAATAACGACCATCATGCGAACTTCGACAAGGTAGTCTGCACCTGCCAACATGGCTCCAACCAGCGGTCAGTGAATTCACTGGATAATTCCCTTTTTCAGTTTGGCCGCCTCTAGCTTTCTCCCAGCCTATTTCTATACTAGGAACCGTCGCACACATTTACCTAGCATTGTGATAACGTATCGTAAATCATCGGATTGTTTGATGGTGATTGTATTTCCACCATGGTTATCTTCTTCCTCCATTTTTCCATTTTCTCTATGGAAGAACTGATTACAGGAGCTATTTTTGCATCTTAGTTCTTAGCGATCCCGTGAATCACTTAGAATTCTCAGATAATGTATTTTTTTATTACGAAAGATAATTGCCAAATCCGTCATCTGTAAATGTAATGATATAAAAAGTACATAAAATATTTTGATAAATTATACAAACTGCTTATGTTGGTTGGCCACTGAGTAGTGGTCAATGTTGTGTTTTCCTAGTCCTTAACGAAGATCGAGTCTTATTGATTAAATTTCATGGTGACTAGTCGTTTGTGATTCGATATTCTATGGACTATGTTCTGATCTTGGTTCGTTGAAGGTGGTTCAAAATAAACCCTGAACCTAGTTTCTGCATTAGTTGACACTTGTTAATAAGGTTTCCTTGCACTCTTGGGGGAACTGGTGCTTCTTTTGTGATCCCGACCCGCGTTGACCAGCTTCACAGATTACAGATACACATTGTGGAATTCAGCTAACAGGGAACCTAGATCCAAGGTTTCCTACAGACTTTCTAATCATCTGACTTTAAAACCTGTAAATTATTCTTAATGAATATTTTGTTTCGACTGAATGCTTATGAATATCTTACGACCAATTTTCAACAACACCTAGTTTAATATTAAAGTGAGGTAGTGATTTAGTCTACTGATGTAACCAGACGTATGAAGAATTACATTACATGGTCTTCTCTATTACATGACCAGTTAGTCGTAAAATTGGTTTAAAGTTCTAGATTTTTTGTCTTTCATTTTCTATATTCATACAATTCTAATATGAGTTATTGATATTTAAACAGAAGCTTTACCTGGACTGTACAAATCTAGTTCTTGTCATGTTATGTGTTGTTGTTTTATCGTTCATCATTATCTGTGTATATGGTTATTTAACGATTATCTGCTGCATTTAATGTCAAATCAAACAAGCATAGAACAATATTAGGAAACAAGATTGTCACATATAAAATTTGACCCAACTAATGTTAATTTAGTTACTGTAAATAGATATTTTTATACTTCATGTATTTAACAGTTGTAACCTGAAAATTAACTATTCTTGTTTATATTCTAATTCCTCACTCTTTCCTCTTTTTCTATTCTATCAGATGGCTGGATTTCTTCAGTCACTAGCATATCGTTTCAGTGTAAATATTCTATGTTATGATTATTCAGGTTATGGCGGGAGCTCTGGTCAACGGTTAGAAGAGAATTTATATGCTGATGCTGATGCAGTATTGAATGAATTACGTGAACGATTTAATGTACCACTTAATCGTATTGTATTATATGGACAGAGTATTGGGACTGCTCCAACAGTTGAACTAGCGACTAAATATAAAGTATGTTTGCTTCAATTTGTGATATATATATGTGAGTACGTACACTTGAGAATGTTAATATTTTTGACGGGTTATAAATGAAAATGTGTGTATGTTTCAATTGTGAAATTCGCCTAAGTTTAAGGCAAGTTTTAATCGTTTGTTGTGAGACAGTAATAGGTCTATGTGCAAGTCAACTACTTGATTGTTTACTTTGAACTAGAATGGTAATAGTTACATGAGAAAAATTAGTTCTTTCTTAAATCCTTTTCCCTTCAATCTAATCGTTTAACTATCCAATAAAAAACATTGATCAATGTATATTATTAGTGGAGTAATTGCTGATATATTTGAGTAATATATCAACATAGAATGTCTCCGAGTTTTTCCGTTTAATTTGTCAAATTTCATGTGCATGCAAAATGGTTGAGGTTGATAGAATTAAGATTGTCATAGTTGAAAGCGTGAGTCGATTGAAGCTAGATCACCATGGAAAACCTGGAAGCACTGGACGGCCTTTTCGTCCTATTGTGGGACTCCTCAGTAGTGCGCATCCACGACCTCGCCTCGCGAGATTCGAACCCATGACCTACCAGTCTCGCGCCAGAGCACTTAACCGATACCACCGAGCCGGCATCCGATGGTGTTAATGTCTAACTCCAACCAATCCACGAAGTTGAGCAACCGTTCACCAATTGTCTTGAGTTTCAATTGACTCACGCTTTCAACTATGAAAGTACTAAATCTCCACAAAAACCCCTTCTGATAATTAAGATTGTATTTAAATATATATAGGTTGAAGAGGGGATTTTCTTAATTCGGTCACTTTTAGGTTCCATTCCAACGTACTCCTACGCCAGCTTTGTAGTTCATGGTGTTTGATGTCTAAAAGGCATGTGTAACATATCTAAATCATTTAAGTCGAATTATTATTTCAAATTAAAATAATATGTTTAATCATACAAGCGGAAAATTGTTTTGTTCTCCTGCAAACGTTTATAAAAGATATATAAGAACTTTCATCTAAATTGGAGCGATTAGTTTCACAGTATTCGGGCTCCGAGTTGATGTAAGACATTAGATAATAATAATATATATTTGTAAAATCTCAGCGAATGAAGTAAATCCAACGTTTCGCCTGGTAATCTGGTTCAAGCTTTTCCAAGCCCCAAAATGCCCTGGTACAGCCGAGACTGGGCAGAGTCCGCTCTCCCTCTCGAAATACTCTCACGCGGCCACGCGTATATAGTCTCTGCCAGGGAAGTCATACTCACTGCCTTCTCGTGGCATTACTGTTGTTTACGAAATTGAGAGGACGAAAAGAGATTGTTCAGCCCTTTAACCGGGTTGGTGGACACGGATAGTACACGTAGGGGAGTTGAAAAACCCTGATTTCTAACCAATGGTGCACATGGACTCCAGTATCCTGAGGGAAGAAATGGAGTATGAATCAATCGTTAGTCACTGGCTACCATGAAACTGCCTCTCCTCAAGTTGCTCCACTGCCTTGTGGATAAGACCTTTAGGTCAAAGGCTCCGTGTGTGGTCCCCTAAGAAAACCACCTGCTTCAGTTTGGGCACCTGAACAATATCACAGCCCTCACACAAATAAAATAAGATTCGTGCGATGCATATGTATTTGGTGCTTCCTTGTACCAATATTTATGTGTTTAACTAAATAAATAAATGAAAAATTCTTACTCATTACTAGATTTCCAATTCATTGTATATATCTAGCCTTAACATACTGCCATTATTATTCTTGTTATTTCAAATTTTTTTCAAAATAAATTAACTTTGTACCTGACATTCATAAATTTATTCATTGTAATGTAGAAAATTCGTTTTGTTTTTTTTACTCAGTTAAAAATAATAAAAAAAGAGTATTCAGTTTTATTGATAAAACCCGGTTTTATGTAATTTTGTTTGTGAAATTTTTCGTTTTAGTCATTCACTGTATATATATGTGTGTGTATGTGCTTACTATTATATTTCAATGTAGTTCATAGAAATATGTGAGGTGGTGATATACTTTCCATAGTTTATATATACCAACATATTTGTTGAATAAATTAGTTTCAGGTAAAAATGAATACCAAAATTTTAGCTTTCGATCATAGTTTCTACATAACAACCATCAATCAGTCAGCTACAACGTAGGATCAGGCACATTTATGAATCGGTCCAAGTTGCCATTACCTTGTTAGCACAACAAGATGAACACCGGGTTCATAGAAGTAGTTAATTTAGTAGTGGTAGTATATAAGTTAGGTTGTACATAAGGATATAGTATAGGAAGGAAGAAAGTTATGAAGTAATTTCAATTTCAAGGTTTAAGGATTGTGATCGATTCTGAGCCATGTTACCTAGAGTCTCCAACCATTGGTTACGATAGTCGCACGGACCCCAACCAGGTAGCCTGCATCTGCTAACATGGCTCAGACTGGAAGTTAGTGACTTCAAGCTCTGATGCCACGTTTTGGTTTGGCCACCGCTAACTTTCTTTCAACCATCCCCAATACTAGTCATCATGGCGCGTCGTGGTAATCGGTGTTCAGGTATACGTAACACGTGGCCCAATCATCTCAGTCGATGAAGATTCATGACCTCATCAACTGATTTACCATCATTCCCTAACACCCTGTGTCTAACCTCGTTATTACTTACCCAATGATCCCAGCAGATGCGTGCAATATTTCTAAGACATCTCTGATAACAACCACCCACTATTGTTTAACTGATATATATATATATATATATATATATATATATATATATATATTCGACAACTCTCTCAAATCAATACATCAGTCATCGTTTGGATGGTAAATTATTGGTTGAAAAACACAGGCCACATGCTTTTTATGTTTTCATTAACACAAGATGTTGACGCTCATTTTTAGCTGCTGTTATCTTTGGATTTTTAACGAGGTTTACTAAAACTTTCAATTTGTCTTGAAAATTTCCTTGTTTCTATAAACAGTCGTCAACATTGGGTGAATTTCTTGATAGTTTTTCCCAAGTTTAATAACTCATTTTGCTTATTTACTGAACAGTCCGTTTTTTCTGGTCCGAAAGTTGTGTGCATCTATGTTTGTATTGCTCACATTCTTTTCCATTATATTCTTAGAAAATATTATTCAAACGTTTCGATCTATGTTTACCACCAGTATTTTTCTACTTTACTGTGGATGGCTGTTTCTTTAAAATTTGATATTGATTTAATACAGAGCCCGCACAACATAAACTTGAGACTTAATGGTTGGAATTTTAGCGTTATAGCTATTACTTCACTTCTCCACTTGATTCCCGAGACAAGTTGTACCTTTATTTTTTCCGCCCTTTTTAGTCTTTCATGAATTTAATTTGTACTAATATTTATACTCAAGTGGTATTTGTTTTTATTGCAGCTGAAAACTTTGGCAGCCATATGAGCTTGCTTTATATCCAGACTCTAGGAGCTGGTTAAATGAGTTTAATGAACAATCAACTGAATATTAATAAAACAGATGAAAATCACCTACTTAAAATAAAAGGATTTTTTAGGAATTCTGACGGCCATCATTCGCCTAATTTTTGGACTGTCAGTGACTTGAAGACTTCATCGACCTTTTAGTTGTATTTATTAAACTATTGTATAAACTAAGATTTCCACTATATCTTAATCACACTCAGAACTCTGAATGAATAAACCGTGAGTATATTACTAGGATTTTCAATCATTAAGAAAATGTTGACTTACTTACGCCTGTTACCCCTTGTCGAGGAGCATAGGCCGCACACCAACATTCTCCATCCAACTCTGTCCTGAGCCTTCCTTTCCAGTTCTTTCCAGTTGCTATTCATCCTTTTCATATCTGCTTCTATTTCCCGGCGTAGTGTGTTCTTTGGCCTTCCTCTTTTCCGCTTCCCTTCCGGATTCCAAGTTAGGGATTGAGTCGTGATGCACATTGGTGATTTCCTTAATGTATGTCCTATCCACTTCCAACGTCTTTCTCTAATTTCTTCTTCAGGTGGAAGCTGGTTTGTCCTCTCCCATAAAACGCTGTTGCTGATAGTATCCGGCCAATGGATGTTGAGTATTTTGCGTAGACAACTGTTTATAAATACTTGTACCTTCCTGATGATGGCCGTAGTAGTTCTCCACGTTTCAGCTCCGTACAGTATGTTTATGAAATATCCAAATGAGATCTAACTGTGATTGGATCAACTGAAAGAATAAATATTACCATTCATCTAAAACAACTGATATTTTGAACATTTGATCCCGTCTTTGTCATTACTGTTATAGAAAAATAAAATGCTCATTATTAGTTGTTGCCTAATCAGAATTCGCGTGACTGAGTTATTAACACAAGTACCGAATTGAATTAATATCAATATACAAAAAGAATACAAAATCGTCTAGCAAATCAAATTTTTTCTATCTAATCAATTGACACGTATATTACATTATGTTAAACGCGTAAAGTGTACATGGGTTAAGCTTTATTTAATACATAACCAGCTGTAGGTTATACCCACTTGTCATTAAAATTAAGATATTGACTATCAGGTTTCAGTTTTACCCACCTTGTCATCATTACTGGATAACGGTTACTTAACTGAATTACACATAGTGTATATAAATTGGTGCTACTGCATGTTTGTTGGACAATGAAACATTCGGTTATTATTTAAATGTCTTGGTACGCCCAAGGGTGGGATGAGTTCACTATCACTTTTTTCCGAAACTCCAAGATCCTAAAGGGACGGGCTATCATTGGTCTGCATTTCCTGTTATTACACTGTTTTATGGATTACAGCTCCAGGTTGAAGGTTCGAACACTGATCCTCTAAAAAAATAGTCTGCTTTGGTTTGGATACCCTTGCAGCATCCCAGCCCGCCCTTTAAATATGAAAGTCATTCCCTCTTATATTTCTTCACAATATTTTCCCCTTATTTGCATGATGCGAACCTTTTTGCTGTCGATTGTACCAGTATGTATATGTATCAAATAAATAAAACTTGCTTCTCTCTTGAAATCACGAGTATTCATGATGTACATCTGTTGAAGTATTTTTGTTACACTTCTCCTGTCTAAGTGTGTCGAGAAAAGCGAAGTGGGGTGCATTTAATCTTATTATTTTGTATTCTTAATTTATTTAATTTAACCAATTAGATTTCTTTGATTTTATGCGATTTATCATAAATCTCTCATAAAAATATGTATTTACCTCAGGTTGCTGGTGTAGTTCTTCATTCACCATTCATGTCTGGTCTACGCGTTGTATGTCCTGGAACAACTAGACGTTTCTGCTTTGATCCATTCACAAAGTGAGTATCTCAACATGTTTTTTCTTCTATTTTTCCATTCACCAAGATTCTCCATCACACTCTGTATTGGACAATCCTTTTCAGTTGTTTCCAGTTACTATTCACCCTTTTGATGTCTGCTTCCATTTCCCGAAGCATTATGTTCTTTAGTCTTTTACCTTCCTTCTAGTGATTGACTGGATTATGAAGAATTCGACATCTGAAGGGAAATACGGAATACAATGGACAGCTCAGAATCAATTAGATGATTTGGACTTCGCAGATGACCTAGCCCTCCTCTCTCATACACACGACCAAATGCAGATGAAGACAGCAAATGTAGCAGCAGCCTCCGCATCGATAGGTCTCCACATTCACAAAGGAAAAAGCAAGATTCTCAAATGCAACACGGAGAACACCAACCCAATCACACTTGACGGCGAAACTCTGGAAGAGATGGAAACATTCAAGTACCTGGGGAGCATCGTTGATAAACAAGGAGGATCAGATGCAAATGTAAAGGCGAGGATTGGCAAAGCAAGGACAGCATTTCTACAATTGAAGAACATATGGAACTCAAAACAACTCTCAACTAATTTCAAGGTCAGAATCTTTAACACGAACGTCAAGACAGTCCTACTGTATGGAGCTGAAACGTGGAGAACTACTACGGCCATCATCAGGAAGGTACAAGTATTTATAAACAGTTGTCTACGCAAAATACTCAACATCCACTGGCCGGATACTATCAGCAACAGCGTTTTATGGGAGAGGACAAACCAGCTTCCACCTGAAGAAGAAATTAGAGAAGGACGTTGGAAGTGGATAGGACATACATTAAGGAAATCACCAATGTGCATCACGACTCAATCCCTAACTTGGAATCCGGAAGGGAAGCGGAAAAGAGGAAGGCCAAAGAACACACTACGCCGGGAAATAGAAGCAGATATGAAAAGGATGAATAGCAACTGGAAAGAACTGGAAAGGAAGGCTCAGGACAGAGTTGGATGGAGAATGCTGGTGTGCGGCCTATGCTCCTCGACAAGGGGTAACAGGCGTAAGTAAGTAAGTAAGTAAGTAATTAAGACTTGCTTCGTGATACAGTCCGATGATTTCCTCAATGTATGTCTTATCCACTTTCAACGTCTTTTCTTAATTTCCTATTCAACTGGAAGTTGGTTTCTTCTTCTCTCTCACTGTAGGTTGATGCTGATGATACCCGGTTAATGGACATTCAGTATCTTGTGTAGACAGTTGTTTAGAAATACTTGTACATTTTCGATGATAATTGAAGTAGTTGTCGAAGTTTCAGCTCCCTCCGTACAGTAGAACTGTCTTGACATTAGTATTGAAGATTGTGAGCTTGGTGTGTTGGCTTGCATACAGTTGTTTTGAGTTGGAGATGTTTTTAAATTGTGAGCATGCAGTCGTGCTTTGCCGATCCTTGTCTTTACGTCTGTATCTGATCCTCCTTGTTTATTGATGACTCTGTCCATGTATGTATGCATGGATGTTCATCTCCGTAGCCTTCCAGGCCTCAACATACACAAATGAAAAACTAAAATCCTCAAATACAACACAGAGAATACCAAACCAACCACACTTCATGGAGAGTCTCTCGAAGATGTGGAAATCTATACATACAAACATGGACAGAGTCATCAATAAACAAGGAGGATCAGATACAGACGTAAAGACAAGGATCGGCAAAGCACGACTGCATGCTCACAATTTAAAAACATCTCCAACTCAAAACAACTGTATGCAAGCCAACACACCAAGCTCACAATCTTCAATACTAATGTCAAGACAGTTCTACTGTACGGAGGGAGCTGAAACTTTGACAACTACTTCAATTATCATCGAAAATGTACAAGTATTTCTAAACAACTGTCTACACAAGATACTGAATGTCCATTGACCTGATACCATCAGCATCAACCTACAGTGGGAGAGAAGAAACCAACTTCCAGTTGAAGAGGAAATTAAGAAAAGACGTTGAAAGTGGATAGGACATACATTGAGGAAATCCTGAATCTCACTCTCTCTTGGCAGTGAGCGGATAGAAGTAGTTGAGAAGTTTGTATATCTGGGTAGCTACGTTAGTGCTGATAGTGGCGTGAGTGATTAGATCAATTCACGTATAGTGAAATCTAGAGTGGCTTGCTCCAGTGTGTGCTCTATTTGGCTCCTGTTTGGTGTTAGTCTGTTTGGCTGTAAACGGTTGGATCCAAAATGCGTCGGTGAAAGCAGTTTTGCTCTGTGTCTGTTATGAGACATGGACTCTCCGAGTTGAAGATGTTAGATGACTCTGTGTGTTTGATCATTGTTCTCTGAAAGATTGCTGACATGCAGTGGCAACACCATGTTAATAATGCAGATGTTTGGCGTCATGTGCTCAGAGAATGAATTCAATTGTTGTCACTATCTCGAAAGATCGACTTTTGTGACATCGGTATCAAGGTTGAACTTGATAGTTTCAAATAAATTGGGAATTGGGTAGAGAGTTAATAATAAATATATTTTTGTTAAATCCAAATAAGTAGAAAAATTGTATTTTTGACGTTTCATGATTTAATGTAAGCCAGTTCTTCAGCGTAAATAAATAGCGGAAATTAATTTAAGTTTAAATAGTGCGATTGCACTAGTGCGAAGCGTCAGAAATGCGATTTTTCTACTCATTGGAATATAACAAAAATATATTTATTATCGACTTCCTTGGCTTGGACATATCTTACGAATTTTGTCCCGGGGAATTCCACGTCGTACACTATTTACCGACAATGGAACCGGTTGTAAAAAGCGGAGGTGGTCAATGTATGATATGGTGTCTTGGTATGGAGGAAAGCTGTACAGGACTAGCTTCTTTTGGTCCTCCATGGTTGGGATCCTACATGTGGTGCCACACATTGACTAGAGACGTTATCAGATATGGCTCAGAATAGAAGCCAGTAGTGATTCTTCTTTAAGTTATACTTTTTACATAAAAGTGAAGGTCACTTCCTTAAAAGAATTCTTTCTAGTTGTATTTTTCCTAACTGTTTATTTTCTCCCATTATTAATAATAATAATACCCTCCCATACTTCAATATCTATTCATCGTTGTGTTTTTTTGTTATTGTACGCCCTTTCCTTTCCCTATTTCTCCACAATTTCTTTTTTATTGTGTGGCGCATATTCATTTTAGTGCCCCCTTGTATTCATGTTTGTGTTCAAATAAATAGATAGATAATATTATTTAGGAGTCCACATTTAGGTAAGCACTTGTCAAACATGCGTCTTACACATACATTAGGCACCTCAGTCGATAAAGACCTGCGAACTCATCGGCTTATTTACCATATTCACCTAGTTCCCTACTTTCATCTATTATCGTTGTATTGACATTTTTTTCACTGTGATTTGACCCCGTATTCTTTTGTACATATCTTCTTATTTCTTTTTAACCATATTCTCATCGCCTAGTCTTCCTAATTATTTCGGTTTACTTGCTACTAATCTTTTTCAATTCATCTCATCGTGCTAGTGTGGTATAGTGATTTTGGCCAACGAACATGTTTTTCAGGCTTCAAATTGATTAGTACTGTTGACTTTTGTTAAGTTTTTGTAATACAAATAATAACATTTATTTTTCTTCAAGTGTAATCATAAGTGTGTTGCATAACACTTATCAAAATGGCGTATGAACAAATGGTATAGTCACAAAAAATAATTATAAGCAAAGATGGATAGTGGCTAGCAGTGGAATCTATGACACGCTTTTCGTCCAATTTGGAGGTCGGCAGCTGAATATATCTGTATCCCAGAGTTGATATTCACTCCGGTACTCGAACCCAGTACCGTTCGCTTCAAACTCCATCGCATTATACACTTAGCTAGTAAATCCTGATAGTCACTTGCTTGTTCAATGGTGTGAAGTTTAAATTCACATGGTATCCATCTTTGCTTATAATGCTTGTGAATTAAAGCAATATCGAAGCAATACGCACAGTATGCACATATGAGAGACTGATCAATTGCAGTCCTAAACATCAATTGGTAGATTCAAGTAAACAATACCAATTGAATATAAAGAATAATTGTTTATTTAATATAATGATTTTTTGTCACTGACGTAACTGTCTATATTTTATGCTTTTGTACTTAGTGTAATAACGTTAACATTTGTCTGAAATCTTTTCCAATAATCACTTACTACTTTTCTGTATTCTATCATTTTAATAAATGAACTAACATGCAGTCATTCATTAGCATACCAGAATGTCTATGATTCTACTTCTTTATTATTAATCTGTGATTTGATCATTCAGTTATCAAAGTAAACAGTATATGTGTTTAGTGTGTTATAATAGTTCAGTAATTTACATACGAATGACTGACAGTGTATTGGTTCTTGTCATTCTGTGTACATATCAACACACCAACAAAGATATAATTCACATGATTAGAAAGCAATCAGGTTGAAATAATAATATCAATTGGATAATAGAAAATTAAAAATGTTAAATTTTGAAGCGGTTTGTAATCCCCCATTGTTGATATTTTGGACTGTAATTGATGAATCTCTCTTGAGGTATACTCATCATTCTCAGTGGTTTGGTGTGATTAATCGTTTTGCCATATGTAGCTACAGAGACTAATTAAGTATAGTGTTAAACATCAACAATGCGAAATTACTAGCTCCTAATACCTACTGAAGAAATTAATCGCTATCTGAACTAAGTAGCTTAGTGTTAAACGTCTGAAGCGAAAGATACCAAGTTCAAATCTCAGTAAGACTATTAGCACTGGGATTTATGTACATTCAGCCATTGAGTTTCAAATGGGGGGTAAAATTCGTGCCGTGGATTCCACTAATAACCAGCTATAATTCAAATATACTAAAAGGTAGCAGATGGAATTAAAAATAAATTTTGAAAACATGAAATAATTGCAAGATCACGACTGAAATTGATGAGAACATTTCGTTACTTTAGATATTATTACACTACTGGCCACCTACCATCAAATATACTAAAAAT